GTTAGCTCTGGCAGCTTTCATATGCTTGATGAGGATTTTTTGCCTCTCTCGATCTTCAGGGCACACGTTATTTACAATAGAAACTTTTGTGTTCTTTAGTTGAGCAACATTATGAAAAATATCCTGCTTACTTAGAAAGGAAACGAATTGTATGAGTATTTCTTTGTTACCTTCGTTTTTACCAATTTGGAATATATTATTGATCCGATTTTGTAAGATTCAGTCCCAACAAAGAATTGAGTTTTTCAAGAGTGTTTCAATAAATAATCTTTCTGACTTGTCTCTCTAAGACGATATTTTTTTTTGTCGGACAGTTATTTGTTTTCGAGTTTCCAGTAGTTTCTTCTCGTACTCTGCTCTATTTCTTCCTGTTTTTCTGTCTGTTCTTCTTGTGACTTTATAAGTAAATCATACAACTCCCTTATAGTCAATTCGTTTTGAGGCATGGTAGTTTAATATCAAAGGAAAATATTTGAGTGCACCAGGTATGAAGTCCAATTTGTAGATTCGATTTTCCAGAATTGATATATACGTTATTTTAACAACGATTTACTTCTTCTTCGTGGTCTTCCAAGTGTACAATTTCCAGGACACTTTTAGAACATCACTAGAATTAGTTGGGTTACAACTCACTTCACGTTCAAGTTTGTTATCACACTATTGCCACGTAAAAAAAAGAAATCTCGGTGCTAGGTATATTCAATGTCGAAAAACCTAACACAATAACTAATAGTAACGAATCCGTTTAATGACACTCATTTAATCCTTGTTCAATTACCCTTACTACCAAAGTAATGTTCGCTCAGATATACATGAAAGACTGACACAGATTTAGTTTAAATCATCTCCTGATGATGCTAACTTGGTTAGCGAAACGGGTGTCGAGAGACAGTGCTTTTGGTCTAGTATGGGAAAAGTGTTTTCAAAAGAACTTCAGCAGAAATTATTGAATGGAAAACTATGAATATTATTAAAAACATTTTGACAGTATTTTTATTTTATTTGCTCATTTTACTATTTCTGTATTTTTCGTCAATCAGCTAATGTACGCCTTAGAACGGCAACCCTCAGAGGGCAAAACTTGTTATTCGTAGCTTCTTTCGATGTACACAACAAATAAAATTTGCCCCTGAACATTGAAATAAGGAACGATAGTTTTTGAATAAAATATATAGTGAAAATGAAATAAATATTAATGATTCATTGATGAATTTTCATTATTCATATGGTATTATCAATTATTTTTATTCATTATTATTTATAATATAATATTTTCTTTCAAAAAATATCACATTGAGTTTGTCGAAGTTCTCCATTACAGATAATTTTATTATTTTTATGATTGTAGGAGTTGAAACTATACAATAACTGTTGTTTGTTTTTTTATATGTGTGTATTTTATTTTTTTACATCTGATTGAAGGAAGTTCTTCCACCATGCTTTTTATTTCACGATTCAGTCCTCATTTTTAATAATGATACTATCAAAATTCACGACCAAAAAAAGAATAGATTCTAAAAATTTCGATAAGGTTCAGCTGTCAAAATGAGCAGAAAAAAGAAATGAACAATTGAATATCTTACCTGAATTAAAATATACACATTGAAGAAGTCAGGAATAGAAAAAACGAAAGCCCCACTGTCACACTCTGCATTGACCGACACATCGAGTCAGACTCTTCATTTATTTTATATTCATTTATATTCATTTACATTTATATTCATTTACACATACCTTTTTCTGTTCGTGGACAAGATTCAAGTTTTTTAACAGAAATTATTGGGGAGGATTCCTCACCCAACTGAATTTAAACTTGAAATACTGGTCGCTTGCTGCATTTATTCAAATTGAAGGACAAACGATGTTTTGCACTTATATTTACCAAAAAATAAGAGGTTTGGTTTTAAAAACACATTTGAATAATTTTATGACTTGCAAAGTAAAAATATGCCGAGTTTTATTCTAATCCGACAGACATTGAGCTATATGATGTGAAAAAGTTCTTGAAGAGGAAATGTGTTTCATCGAGAATTTTTCAACAAGGTCACTCAAAATTATGTATTTTTTTGTTTAAAATGTGCAGATCTCAAGTGGGTATGCACTTGTTGCATTGAATGGATACGCGTTACTTTCAGTCACCTCCCTAACAATTTTTTTCTCAATCTAATACCTCTCTTTGCTAAAGGGAAATGTGAGCAGTCTATGAACAAGCAATTGTAGTCCCGCCATTCCTTGTTGCGGGCAATAATGCGAGCTGTCAGGGATATACCTGAATGTGCTCGTATTCTTTCTATATACATCAAACTCTAGACCCTTATCGACATTTTTGATAGTATATCCGGTGTAGTTAGGTAATACTAACAGGTAGTATTTAGGCCACCAGCATATAAAAACACTAACATAGTAGAAAAATTTAGTCATAATGATCTCCTGGGGACGCTAACTTGGTTAGCGAAATGCGCGTCGAGAGACCGTAATTTTGTTCTGGTGTTTAGAAAGTGTTTTCAATAGATTCATCTGAGTCAGAGGTTCCTTATCTGGCTTACCGTTTTTAGCTCCAAATCGTTTTTGTAAGCTAAATTTTGAGCGTTGATGTTATGATACTTAATTGTATTACAAAATTTCCAATTTTCAGTAGAATTTTGTTTAGTTGCATCCAAAATATCTAGTAAGATAACTATTAATCAAAATCGGGCTGAATGCAAACCCAAAAATTAATGTTAAAAGTGTTTTTCTGTCAAACAGCTGCATTGAATTTCAAAAAACTGTGAATAGTCAAAATGATAACTCGATGATCTTTCAAATGAGGTATCGCTTGACCCCTGATCCTATTTTAGATTTGAGAGTTGGATTTCACCCCACTGAAAGGGTGAATGTCATTTGAGGTTTCGTTTTCACTGGCCCACTCTGTAAATGTGTTTATCTACCAGTGTGTTGGTTGAATCGATATAAGTCGTTATGATTAAGATGATTAAGTCCATCAACTTTCCTGGTTAGGAAGCGCAAGTTAAAATATGTGTGACCTCGTTGATCGTTAATTTTTGAAAGTTGTCATACATATGGGGACGAGGGATGATAAACAAAAAAATTAATGCTGAACCTACCTACCCGGAAAAAATATTCAATAATCAATACTTGAGAATATCAGTGAATACGGACATGTTCGATAATTAAACGTTGAATTTATAACGGGTTTTCGATTGAAAACATGTTTTAAAAATAGTTTTCACTCATTCATCGTGGTAAAAATCAACAACTTTAATGTGGGTATCGTTGAGACATAAGTGATTGTTATCGACAGTGCCGAAGCAAACAATTCCTTAAAAGCGTAATTTAAAACCAAATTACCACTATTTATATTGACCGTTACTTCGGAAATGCATTTGATATTCCATGTTTCTACAATTTGAAGAGTCAAATGGGTAAACATTCATGAAGTCTCAATATCTAATTTATTACCATAAATACTCACACTCCATTATCTGGCTATTAAACTTTGGTTGTCAGTGTAGATTTTACAGTGTAGAATGTGGTAGAAATGAAATTTTATAAGGGAGTTGTTTTAAAATTTGATGCCCACGAATGTAAAATCGTAGTAGAGAATGTCTACTCTCTATAAATGAACGGTTTCAGAGACACATTTTTGAAGAAGTTAATTGGTTCAACTTCTGAAAAATTAGCAATGTATTAACTTCCTTCTTCTTCCAGAAGATTACGCCATGTTTAAGAAGAAATAACTTGGAAACTGATCACAAACTTCCGAAACGCGAAACTAATGTGAGCTAAGAATTAACGTGCTGTCATCTTTCAACGTAAACGGTAAAACACGGTAAATGTTGAGATGAAGATAAAGAGAAAGCATAGGGGCAATGATATCTTCTGATAGGGAGACATCATCTATATCTATGGGATCGACAGAATATTCTCGAATATCAAGGTGGTCGACTTGTAGCTACCGTCGACGAAATTCAACCTCTGCCTTTTACTGCAGCTTTCACTGCGAGGCAATTAGCTGATAACCAGAGCCCAAACACAACTCATTTAGTCCTGTTTTGACTCGCCGAAATATGCATCCAAACAGGGCCGCCCTAAATCATGCTCATTGCGCCATCACTTCCTTTCATCAATATTGTTTATATTCATGTTGATGTGAAGAATTGCCTGCCACTCTCGGTCTGCTCGAACTGGAGTTTCTCATGATAATCGCAACTAGTCTCCCGTATTATGGAGGAGAAAACTTCCGAGGAGTGTGTGAAATAATCTATTTACCACTCATTTTTCAAACTACGGGAGTCAAATTCCAACTGTCACGAGGTTTCGTTCCCAAACATCTCAAACTTTTAGGACGTTGACAGGAAAACCGCCATCTTTTTTAATGTGCTTTCAATACCATTGAAATGAGTTCCAATCAGATGTTTACATAATTAGAAAGGAATATAACATTACATGTTCGTGGATTCCCATTTGCCATTTAGGGGGTAGATTGCAATGTACCGGATAAGTCTTTCGATCAGTTTAGCAATCCTAGAAGTTGTTTCCTTTGGCGAAAGACTAATTAATCTACCAAGTTGGTCTTCTATAAGATTTTTAACATTTAGGTTTGCTCATAAAATAATTGTACATATGTATCTATTGGATTTCATATTATCAAATTCTGTTACAATATTTCAGTGGGATTGCATTTGGAGATGAAGATAAAGATCTCTCCTTTCATCTTTGTGATTAACAGCAGACCTCGGACGCCAATTCAAAATCACATTCATCTAACGCTTTCACTTCAAGAACCTGAACAGAAAAATAAAGCTTGTTATTACAGTTTATTGTATGATTTTCACTATAAAGAGTTTTGCAACCAAGACATGTGTTTTGCTATACAAAAACTTTCTCAAGCGTGAAATATTTTAGGCTCATCTCACGCTTGAGAAAGCTATTGTATAGCGAAACATGTGTCGCGGTTTTCGCAAAACCCTCTATTGTGAAAATCATAAAATAAACTGTATTACTGAGTTTTGATGTGGATTCTCATCAATTATCGGTCAGTTCTACTCAATTATTAGAAAAATAAAGTATTCGTGATCCAACAGAAGCGCTGTTTTGACCTAACCTAGGTTTTATCAGTAGTGCTTGGTTGAATCACGAATTCATTGCTAAACTCGGCAGACCTCAGGAGGTCGCCATCTATGGTTCCAAATATTTGTTTTGCAGGGAAACCTGCAGAGTATATAGCTAGGAGACGCATTTCGTTCAGTAGATGTCGAAGATTCGGCAGTAGATGTCGAAGCATGCCTTTATAGCGGATCGTCGTAGAGAATCCTGTTTATTGCCGATATTTGTAATTTGAGTATTCTGTCAAATACGTAGATGAGATCGCAAGGAAAGAAAGTTGAGTTCAATTTTGCTCTCAGATGTTGGATCGCCAATGCTTTGTTTTTGGAGTTTGATTTCATCTAATTGAAAGGCACGATGGTGGAGTGATACATTGAACTTTTGGTCAAGAGTATGAAGAATATTGCTCATCATATCTTGAAACAACTCCAGCTCCAAGCTACCACTCTTCATCGTCAGCTTCTGACAGAGTACCATGAAAAGAACAGGAATTCAACCACCTTTATCCAATGAAACATCTGAGGTGAGCTGTGCAGTATTAAAATTACATAATGTTACATATTGTTTATTCCTTGTATTTTTTCATTCGTAGAAAATTTTGTATCGTACACAAGCAGAAAAGAATAAGTATTCTTTGAAGAGATTATCCACTTAATCTGAAGATCTTCGATTTTTAACTTTTTTTTCAACTGCAAGCACAGAAATCTAGGAGATTTCTCTTCTAGAATTTCGAAAGTGATTTTTTCTTTCGCCAAAAGTTTGCCCTATATTCAAGGAGATACAGTGAAAAAATATCCTAGCAGGAAATAAATTCAATTGTTGTGAAAGAGACAAATATACGTTTGTATAAATATATATTTCGCATATTTATTTAGATACAATCCATTTTCGATGCTCCAGAGTGTATAAATCAATAGTTTACTCAATTCATAGAGGAAAAAATCCTGGAACTATCAATCAAGTTGTAGTTTTTTGAAAGTTCCATTTATTCCAAACACTTCACTGGCAAATTCACTTTTTTCTGCCCTTTTCAACTCATCCACTATTTGAGATTCTTGAAACTTGAAAAATTCGGTATTCTCTGTCATCTGGACTTTATATTCTTCTGAAAAAACAATTGAATAGAACTTACGATTGGATTATGATATTAGGTTGTTTCGAAAGTTTTGTCCGTTTTTATGATTCTACTTGAAACTGCAAAATTTCAGTGAATATTTATTCAATCTAATCGAAATGAGCACCATTTGTATCAGCGTACTTTTGCCAACGTAATATAAGGGGATTAATTCTATCAGCATGAAAATTGTGTACTCGAGATCCGATGAAGTCGATGAAGGCCGTTGAGAAAGTTATCGAAGTGCTTGAAAAGATTGAAGTCGATTGGCATGAGATATGGGGAGTGAGATGGGTGAGGCAGATCTTCGACGCTCAATTCCTTTAATTTTCACACGGTGATTTGTAAAACATGCGGATAGGTGTTGTCGTGGAGCAGAATCGAACCTCTTCTGTTGATCAGTGCCGGCTGTAGTTGACGCAATTTTCGGTATATTTTACTGCATCACCACTGTGATGGTTTGGCCTGGTTGCACAATATAGTGAATCATACTGGCCATTAACCACCATATAGTAAAGATATCTCTTTTGTGAATGTTCGCTCTTGGAAAGTACCTGGGTGGCCCATCGGTATCCAATCACTGTCCTGAATGGCTCCTGTTGTCGTAGAGGATCCATTTTTCTCACACGCGACGATCCGATCCAAAAAGTATTGTTTTGGTTGTGCAATACCAAGGAAGAATATACTTCAAAACGTAATAATTTCGATCATTCAAATTGTGAGGCACCCACTGTACGAACTTTTTGACGTTTCCAGTACGTTTTGAACCATTAAAAACCGCATGGGAGCTGACGTCTAGTTCTGATATTCATAAAAATGATTTTTCACCCATTTCATGTACCGTTCATGGTGTGTCAGCCTCCACCAGGGTTTTGAGTCCTCGTCCTGGATTACTGTAGGTCGACCACTTCGAGGCTGGAATCTCCGGAACGAAATTTCGCAAACCAACGCTTTGGTTCGATTAGAATTTGTAGAGAAAAATTGGCCAAAAATCGCTTAACGACATCATATAGTAATATGCTGATTATGGTCAAAAAATAAAAATTTGGAAAAAATGAACACCATCAGTGTATAGACTACAAAATTCTCTATGGATCAGTATACACTACGACACAGTAGAATGAATATTTATTGAGATACGGAGCTACAAAATCACTTGATATTTAAACGGACAAAACTTTTGAAACAGCCTAATAATTCGTGTAAAGTGATAGAGATTTGATTTATTGGTGAATTATTAGTAACACAATTTTTCTGAAAATTAACATTTCTAATAATTTCAAGAAAATTCATCTGAAATTAAACTATGCCGAAAAAGGCTTTAAAGCTCCACATATTTCATGTTTTTATAGTTATTGGAAAAACGAACAGATCGAAACACACAATTATTGAAAAATGCATTTTTATGGAGAAAATCAGTATTGTTCATCAGATTTTCTGAGGTGAAAATTCCCAAAAGGGTCAGTCGAAAGCACAATTATTGTTTTCATTGAAGAAAATAAATGTAAGTACTATTGAAAAACGTTTGTAAGATGTTTTAACATGTAAATGATGAGATTATCAGTACATCTAATATATAAAAATGGATGTTTGTTGGTTGGTTGGTAAGTGGTAAGTATAAGTAATTTTTCATAAAGAAGGTTTTTAGGCTATCAATTTTTCTGTAACTCGCCACTAGATGGCGCTGTAGAACAATTTTTTGAAAGCACTGTTCTATAACGCTGCGCACGCCTAAGTTCGTTGATTCTGATTCTGTGAAAAGATTGGAACATCAGCGATACAGCAACATAGTACTAGTTTAATATATAAAATAATAAATTTAGTCTGTTCACTGCAAACCATTTTGTTCGAGGGTTTTATAGCTATTTTGATGGTTGAATTTCAACTTCCTTTCTATTTACTCACCATGAAGAATTTTCAAGGATTTACAGGATCCACCATAGTCTTCCGGTAGAATGTCTTTTGGAATTTTGTTGAACAAAGTGTCTATTTGTGAGTGCATAACTAACTGAAAATACAAAATTATCATTTTGTGTTTTCATGTTGAAGATATTCAACTAAATAGAATACTGAGTAGAATACTAACTCCATGTATAGAAATTGACTCCATTCAAAAGTCAATGAAGAAAAACGCATTTAAAAAATCCCAAAGACAGATATTCAATATTAGACACAATAACATTGTATCTAAAATGTCTGAAATAAATATTATCAAAACTCGACAGATACCTATCCAATATATACAAAAATGCAATCCGACAGACATTCTGAAAGCATTTATAAAAATGCAGAAAATAAGGGTTCCGACCCAGAAGTGGGTCTCTTCTCCTCACTTCCTTGTTTTGCTTGGTAAAAAATCTTATGCTCACCAATGCTGATATAAAATGACTCTTGGATTTCGCCATTGTGCAGCAAGGCGTGTTGTATATGTTCAGTATTTGCTAAACACAGCTTTTCGTTTCTCTGTTTTTTTTAAATTTGTTTTCACAAAAGTCATCTAACAAAAGAAATATTTATTTTAATTTATTTCGATAGTCAAAATTATTGAATACAAGTTATAAAAAATACTTTTTTTGGATTTCACAATACTTCGTTCTGTATTCATAAAAATTACTTTCACCCAATTTGAGTCATTCTACTGTTTTTTAAGGACAAAACACAACCACTGTAGAAAAATTGTTAAGGTGCTCTGGGAGTGGTGTCTGTGCGAAAGTATCTATTCACATTGGATTTGAATCTCTGGAAGTTTAATCCATATAAACGCAGCTCTCCAAATGAAAGAGTTCTCAAACAGTGAAGTTCGAGGTGTACTGAGTTGAACCTCAAAACGATGAGCACCCACAGTCCGTCACGTTTTTCTGATTCGTACCGCTTTTGGTGGAATCAAATGTGCTAAGTCATTTGAACACTTCCCGTGAAACTATCTATAGAAGAGAGACAAAATGTCTAACTCTTCTTCAATGGTCCAGACTATCAAGGTTGCAAGTGATGTTCGCGTATCCAATTAGGCAGATGGCTCTTTTCTGGATAGAATCCAGCAGCATTAAGGTATGCTTAGAGGCGGAGCTCCATACATGAGAACAATACTCCAAAGAAGGTCTGATCTGAGCTTTATAAAGCGTCAAAAGTTGTGGAGTCATTTAGAGTTTTCGGGTTCGGAAGAGTGTTTGAAGCTTTTGGGAAGCAGTTTCTGCAATTCCAACGACATGATTGTGCTAAGAAATATTGATGTCCATTTAAATCCTCTACAGTACCATCAATTAGGACCTTTCTTGTCTTGTTTTCCAGTTCTTATTCACCCTGTTCATTTCAACTCTTTCAACATCAATTTATGTTTCTCATTGCATCTAAAAGATATCTGGTGCTGACTTGCTATAAGAAAGGATTCAGTTTGTGTATCAACGGTTAGGTAGGTACTATGAATATGTCAATAACGCATCTCTTGTGGAATTATTCAATTGAAAATGTTTCGAACCACTCTTTGTATAAGTTCGCCATTATTGTTGGTTATTGGTATTGGTAGTGCATCACCTTTAAAGAAATAACTTTCTTTTTCGAAAGTTTTTTTGTATACACTATGGCACCTATTGTTTTTATGATTTCCGTTTGGACAAAATTCTCTTATGATTAGTTCTTTACTGGAAGTGAAACCTATGCTGGAGCATAACAAATTTTGATTGAACAATATTATTTGGTTCGATTTTTGAAACACTTTTCAGTAAGATGTATTGGAGTGGTATCATTTGAAAAATTTTGAGGTAATGTACTGAAGCGGAAAGGAAACTGATGACAAAATCTGAACTTACCGAATCTGCAACATACTTTTTCATGAAGGGTCTCATCATTGCAGAAATTTTATCCATGAATGGAACAATGTTGAAAAAGTGAATGCTTTTGAATCTTATTGGCATTCCCTCCTGGAGAAAAACATATATAGTTATAGATGAACACGTTAGGAATTTTGTACTACTAACAGTAAAAAACAATGTTTTTTTTCTCATTCAAATAACGCTGCATTATGAGATTTTCACTGAGCAGTTTACGAAACCATTACATCATTTTTTGAGATGTAGAAAAAGTTTTCTTTCAAAATAGAGCGATTCCAGAATTCATTTTTCACAATGGGCAATGGACAATATTCTGGGAAAAAAATTAAGAAGAAAATCCAATGGCGGTCATCGATTTTTACATTATTATTTTGACCATCATTACACTTGAACAGATTCTCTATTGGGGTTCATGTTTGATATCTCAAATGCGGACAATTCAAAATTTGATTGAAGAAAATGATAAATAATGCTTTTCGGACCCGAAGGCAAAAGTAGAGAATCTCTTTCTATCTACATTAACGACCTTAAATTCAATAAAAACATCGGTTACCTTCATTTCAAGACAACTGTACCCAAGCAGACATTTGTTTTCTAGAAAACTGAAATTCAGTTTATGTGAGAGCTTGATATTCTCTGCGATGGAATATACGGAAGGAGCCTCACTAAAGAAAGATGTATTTCAGATAACACAAAATAGTTGCATCAAATTGCATACGGCATCCGCAAATAGGATTATATCATTTTTTCTTTTGAAGACTCTGGATGATTGCACATCAAGCGAATAAGTAAAATACGCCCCACGTTGACATATACAATTCTGAGATGCAGGAAAGCTACTTCATTAACGTAAAAATTTATTTTTCTGTATCAAAATATGGTATATCATATATTCCATTAAGTATTCCTAGAAACACCACATCTTTATACAAAGGGTTTTTTTCCTAGTAAGCCGCTAAATTATACATAAAATTTTGAGATAACGCTGAAAATTTTGTCGTGGGCATAGCAAAGGTATCAGAATACAACTAAACGCTATGCATTATATATTTGTTTTAACCATATTGTTATGAATATCACTGGAGTTTTTTCCCTACACCAAACCGTTATTTCAAAACCTCGACACGTGTTTCGATCGAGTGATCATCTTGAAGAGGAAGGTCTTCCTCTTGAAACTGATCACTTGGATGACGATCACTAGGTACTTGTAATTAGAACAACCAGTTTAACAGAGTTTTCTGGATAGAGTCTGCGGGGTTCCAGGAGTGGAGCTGAAAACTCCACCACGAGAATCGTCCTACTCTGATGGTCGAGAAGGACTGTATCAGGCTTCTTTGTTTGTATCAGTTTGAGCCGTTAGCCGTTTTAAAATGCCAAGTATTGAAATTTCATATTTTCCCTTTTTTTTAAATTTATAACTTCATAAGCGAGGAAAAATTATTAAATTATTGAAGGCAGGACCAAATTCCTTTCTAAAAGAGCAAAAAGTACTGTCAAATTCACAACTTAAATTCTGAGACGAAAAATCTACTCAAAATGCCGTAATGAATTTAACAGATTATATTTATAAAGCACTGGATGAGAGCGAGCACACAATAGGTGTTTTCAGATTTATCGAGAGCATTTGATACTGTTACCCTATCGATTTTGCTTTCATGTTTAGAAAACATCGGTATTAGGGGCCACGCAATGAAACTATTCAAATCATATCTGGTAAATAGAAAACAATAAGTGAAAATCAAAAACATTGAAAGCAGCGGAAAAATAATTGAATGTGGAATACTCCAGGGAACGGTTCTGGGACCAGTTTTATTCTGCACATATTTGAATGGAATATTTCCAGCAGGTTCATCTGGACACATTATCAGTTCTGTAGACAATACCGCTATAGTTCATTCTAGAAAAACATGGTCAGTGGTGAAGAAACAGACAGAAAAGGACCTAAAAATAATCAAAGATTGGTTGGATTATNGTGAAGAAACAGACAGAAAAGGACCTAGAAATAATCAAAGATTGGTTGGATTATAATCAACTGTCTCTGAATTTCATTGAAACTTTATATTTACCATTCGGAAACTACAAGTGTTCTCTGTCGATATATCAGCATTTAACGATTCAGAAGTCGCTAGAAATAGGCACATGTACGATATTTAGAACGAAAAAATTGGGATGCATACTTTTTGAAATTCGACAGCTCAAAGGGATTCTAAATTTGAAATTGAAAAAAATGTTTTGAATTTTCTGTTTATTTCTCACTAAAACATAGATCTACAAAAATATTATTGGAGGTGAAAGAATGGTGAAGGCAGAGAATGTTGTAGTGTCTTCGATTTTAGACTCTGAAGCGATAACCAGTGAATATGAAAGCAGACTAGTAAAGTAATAGTTAGGCCAAAAGCACTCGCATAAATAGGAATATTATCAGTTACAACTTTTGTAATAATCAAAGTTAAGTTTCATCTTTTGATGGTTATAATTGTGTTTTTTGAGGGTTGTCGTTTGTTGGAAAACCTTTTCAATGAGTAAGTGGAAAGAATTTCAACACCATATCTACAAAAATAGAATAAAACATATACTTTTGAAATTCCTCACTGTTTTCGAGAATCGAAAAAGGAAGAAACGTTTATGTTTCCTAGAAATTTATAGACAGGATCATATATCTCAATGAGTAGATGATAGGCATCTACTCATTGAAAATTATGTTAACAATTAAGTATCAACTTACTGTTTAAACAATGTTCAAAACATTAATTTCAGAACACCCTGTACAATAACTGACCCTGCATGAATTTCATCAAATGCTACTGGGTTTGTAGGTCAAACCAAACATAGAAAACAAAACTGATTACTGAAGTGAAGTTTCTTCGGGTTTCTGGGAATTTGAATAATACAAGAATCGAATCATTATCTACAGGTAATTGATATAACGGTTCTAGAAAAAAACGAGACATTGCTACAACAATAATTTCGTAGAAGCTGAAGATATGTTCAATGTTATTCTACTTCATTATTTGCATAAATAAACAAATGGTACGATGTCGCGCCATATGTTTCATGACGAATATGATGAAAACATTTGGTGAAAATCATTTTGAACGTTTGTTACATTGAAGTTTTCCATAAAACATTATTGGGTTCTGGAGTTCCAAAAATAAGTGATACGCATTTTGGCTAATGAATACAACACAATTACTGTAGCCGTACTAATGTGTGGGAACACTCTAGAACGGTAATCCTCTTCTCGATGCGCGATCGAACAAGCGTCATCAGATGACTATACGAGTATAGTCGAAGTAATTTGTATTGTGAATAGTTAAAGCTATCGGCATCTCAAAAGCCAATACAGAGATATAATGCCGCTACGAACTAGTCCACGTGGACTGAAGAATTGGCGGTTCGTATTGGATAATTTTTACTAACCGAGTTTTATGATTGGCTGAAGATTGTTTTCAATCCCATCGAGTCACGGCAGTCACAGCCTGCGCCATATGCGTACGCCCGGATTGATACAGTATGACGTCATGACAGTTCGCGGCTTTAAACGCTTGTTTGAATTGGTTTTTCAACGCAAGAAAGTTTTAATACTTTTTATAAACTGACTATTGATATTTCACTGCTTATATTTTGCATTAGTTAATAGTTATCATAGCAGAGCACATTTGCGATGTGAAAAAAAAAATCTGCAAGTTCCCTATTTCTCGTGAAACTCATTGAGTATAATATTCTTGGCTTTGGTACACATCTCGTAGTACATATTTCATTATTGTTTCTCCGTATCGCTATATTTTCAGAGGCTCAAATTTTGTATGTAGGTTCATTTTATGTTGTAGATATGCAATATAAAAAGATTTTCCAATATTTCGACTTGGGCTCCCCCGTGGAGGTAAAAGGGTGCGTTTACATATGAAAATTACCTTTTCATCACTGTTTCTCCGTACCGCTATATTTTCAGAGGCTCAAATTTTGTATGTAGGTTCATTTTATGTTGTAGATATGCAATACAAAAGAATTTTTAAATATTCCAACTCTTACATGGAATACTGATGAAATTCATTGATGAAATCACGAATTTATTTCATGAATGAGTTAAATCTACTCATGTCATCAATGACATCGTAGTGACATTCATTCTCTTATTTGATTCAATCCCAGCCATAGGAATCTTGTTTGAATTGAAAGGGGTATAATATTAGGAGAGATTAATTATTTTGGAAAGGAAGGTGTTGGCTTTCTACTTCTCCATCTTCATACAAAAAATAGCGAAAATCTTCCAAAGAAAGCAATCAATTTCAAAATAAACTATTTACAAAGATGAGTAGATCGTGTAAAGAAGTGACTTTCAGACACAAGCTGGAAGAAAAAACCCTCCTGAACAACTACTTTCATTTAAACATTAAAATAGTTTTTCTACTTATCTAGTATTTGTTTCATTGTTTAGTTTGGACCGGATACAGTAACAGAACGTTTCATTTGTTAACAATTACAGTGATACTACCTAAATACGTTACAAATTAATTCCGGTGAAAATGAATAATAGGCAGGCTCCATAAAAATTAATCGGACAATCAAAAAATGTAGGTTAAACTGCAATAACAGTTAAACAAGACGATGAACAAGTGGAATTAATTAAAATCACTGATCATCGTGTATGAAGTACTTTCATTCATGACTAAGGTCTAATACTCGTACATTTCATACAAGATACGTATTGCTGTTAATTTTGATTCTTGGCGAGATTTGTCCGAGAAACAGTGTGTCTATTAATAACTCTATTTACTCACCGATAAATAAGAAATTATTTAGTCCAGTTTCGAGAGGAAGACACCAAAACTTTATTTATAACTGACGTTAATCTCCAAAGTATCTCATGGACGTGTTTGTCCGTTACACGCGCAATGAAATGATAGAAACATCCGCACTAGAGACTATCGAGCCGGAGACTGACCGCTCTTCGCGCGACATGTTTGATTCAGGTCAAACTCCCCGAACGCTCACTAAATTTCTCCAAAAGAATGCCCCAAAGACGATTCTGCTGAATACCAGCTGACTCAGAAGAAGGCTGCGGTGTTGGATGTACCTACCTTTTCCGGATCATCGCCAACCTCTGGAAGATTGCTAGCACATTATACAGTACCTACACAGGGTGTAACTAATTAAGTGTAAAACATTTGAGGAGGTGATTCCTCATCGATAAAAAGATAGGATCTTTAATGTAAAGAAATTTCATTGGAGCATCCCTTGTTAAGATACAGCCCCTTAAAGAGGGTACATAAAATTTGTGTAACAATTTTTTTCACAAGCACTAAAGAAGTT